GTTTGCAGAGCCGATGCTGTTGATGGGCCTCCATTGCTGTTAGCCTCTTTGCACGACAATGAATCTTTGTGTGTCTGTCTGCCCACCTGTCACTCTGTGTCTTCTTGTCCTTCTCTAGGAAACCGCAGCCTTTCTCTAAGTCTATCTGCTTGTGTGTGTGTGTGTGTGTGTGTGTGTGTGTGTGTGTGTGTGTGTGTGTGTGTCTAAAGCTCTAGAATTTACCCCCCCCCCACACCCCGCCCAACGCTTCTTTAAGCAAATGTACATCTACATTCAGTCCTACCTCTCCTTTGCTCCTCCCAAGGAGGGACTCCCTGGGGCTCATTTTTGTAGCTCTTTAGAATGTTACTGACCAAATCTAACTCCCTCTGTCCTTGACCCTCTCTCAGATTCAAAGCCCTCCTTTTCCTGAATGCCCCGAGTCCCCTCTCTTTGCTGTGGCTGAGGCAGAAGGGAACCAAGCCTTCCTGCCCAATGTCACGGTGGGACTGCAGATTTATGACTCCTGCATCTCAGGGATCCGGGCTCTAGGGAGCACCCTGGCCCTGCTGTCCAACCAGCTTCCATCCGCAACCAACTATGCTTGTGGCTCCCAGCAACATATCCTGGGAGTGGTTGGAGGGATGACCTTCCTGGAGTCAGAGCCCTTGGCTGAGCTGCTCTCCGTCTACAGGGTCCCTCAGGTGACAGACATGCCTGGAAAGAGAAAACCACTTAAATACTCTGGGCAGACAGTGACAAAGTGCAGCCTGGTAGAAAGATCGGAGTAACGACCTCGAAAAGGTTACTTCCCTGGGCCTGGGATTTCCCTCTTTCTACAAAACAGGAGGTGAGTATTAGACTAGAACATTTCCGAATGCTGATCAATGCATGGACTAGTACTGGTTTGCAGTGATCTTTCTCTGATTTGCAACAGAATGACAAAGAAATGACACAGTGTATGCACATGTTGGTGTGAGGTCACCAACCCTCCTTAGATGGTGGTTTTATTTTTCCAACGAACTTTTTTGTGGCAAAATAAAAATTTGGCAAACTTGGGCTAAACTCCCATAATTGTCCTATCGATGTCTTAAACAGCCTGGAATCCCCAGGACTGATAATGCCTGGAGGCCCTACACTCTCCAACCAACCATGATCTGAGGGCTGATGACAGCATCTAAGATTTATAACCCAGGCTCGGATCATCTCATTCCTCCTTTGCAGCCTTCCCAGAAATTCAGAAAGTTGAACAAGTGACAAACTATTCCACTGGATTTCTTGATGTTCCTGTGAAACATTTGCCTAGATTCCAGTTCTGTTTGATCTTCAGTATATACTAAATCAGTTAGGCAGGGAGGCAATGTTTATGAAATTATTTCCCAGGTGAAGAATATTTATTTCCCCTAACATGCCTGAAAGATACCTGACTGCCTGTTGTGACCTTTAAAACTCGCTCCCCCAAAACTTAAATATCTTCCCTTCTAAATTCCGCTGAGGCCTCAAATGCCACAATTAAAAATATCCAGTTAGATGCAAACATTTTATTCTCTAGAAGGAGTGATAGGTACATATCGTCAGTCATTCACGCCCTAGTAGAAATGAGTTTGTCACGTGCTTTTTTTCTTCTGCAATATTAGCTGAGAGTGACACTAATAATAACTATATCTATCATTTACTGGATATTTACTATTAGTAGAAAGGTGATTTTTAGATCCTTTACATGTGTTCAAATCCTTAAGATTAAATAAATTAATACATGTAAAACATTTAGAAAAATGCCTTGCTTATAGTAAGTGCAATATCAGTATTTCTTATTGACATTATCTTCTTTTATTATATCATTTAATCTTCACAACCCTATGAAATAGACACTATAATTAGTCTCATTTTGCAGATGATGACATCGAGGCTGAGAGGAAATGTTACTTGTCCCAAGTCACATAGCTAATAAATAGTAGTTTGAGATTAAAACCCAGGGACCTTGATTCCAGGGGTAAAAGAAAGTGCAGAAGCAAAGAGGAGGGAAACTGCCCTAAATAAAACTGCTCCCTCTTTTTATACTGGTTACTATTTCCAAATGTTACTGAGCACACCACCACTAGTGGTGTACGGAATTGTGCTATAGTCACATGTACCATGAGGCACAGGTGAGGCCATAGCCCTATCCTCAGGGATGTTCACACTCTGGAAGAGAAGGCAAGCATGAATTCATATAACCATAACTCGGGGGTACCCACAGGGTTCTCAAAAGGCCTCTCTTGGAAGAACTCAGGGCAGGACCACGCAGCCTCAAGCCTCTAAATTAGAATGTTAGGTTACAGTGGCTTAGAATGATGTCTTCTAAGTCAAACCTCAAGACATCTAATTGACAGGATTGCTTTTTCTAGTTTTTTGTTTACATGAGAAGTCTTACAAAGGCATGAAGATAAGTCACTTAAGATCTTGATTGCCTTAACTAAAAAAGTTGAAGTGCATGAAATTAATACAGTTCCCATGCCTGCAGGCTGCTTTGAGGTCTCATTCAGCACAGCAGGTAGTGTTAGACCTAAGACCATTCTCCCCACAGTGCTAGAGAGAAGATGCCTACATCCTAAGTGAGTTCAGTTTTAGGGGCTCTAGACCTAGAAGTGTGTGACCTCCAAGGCTGATCCTTAGGAAAATGAATTTAAATTGCCAAAGTTAACCTCTTCACAAAGGACCCTTGGGCTTGATGCTGGGGAGATGTGGGAGGTAAGCCAGGCATATCCTTAGGACTGGAATGTAACTAAGGGAGTCTCTCTCCTAGATAGGTGATAACCCAATCAACTAAAAAATGGCTCAGCCTACCTGGGTGTTTCTGTCCTTTACAAGGGAGAGGATGTCTCAGCTGAGCTGAACTCTGTCTAGGCAGGTCTGACTTCAGAGCCACAATGGTCCAGTTATTTCTTTGTGCCACAATGCTAGCCTCATGGATAATCCTTCTGAGAATAATTTAACTTCAGATAGAGGCTTTCTGTAGGAAGAGAATACACTGACCAGCCAACACAATGTTGGTTACATGGAAAGTTATATTTCTCACTCTTAGTAAGTGGTGTCTGGTCTTGGCAATGATTTTGGGAAGCCTGCACCAGTCTCATCTATGTCAGTCATTTCTGGGTGAGTTCCTCTTTCTTGAAACTATGACATCATCATGTTGCTCATGCACCACTCACTAGGACATCTTTGAGATTGGCAACTTGGTCTTGCTTATATGAGTATATGAACTGGCATGTAGCTGTTGTTCAGCACCCATCCATTGAATGGGTGTGAACTGAGACATTTCTGAAACTACAAAGTAGATTGTAACCACCACCAGCAGCTCAATGCTTAACATACGCTAAGTGCTACCTGTAACTTACTAAATATCCAAGGAAACTCCAAATGTGTTACATCTTAAGAAATTCTTGAGCATTTTGCAATAGCCCTTGCTGTTGCCGACTCGGGTTTTCCAAAACCCCAGAGTCCCTAAAAATCAAAGGACCCACCTCATTTCACACAACTCACCAACAGAGATCACTGGACAGCGGTGGGCTGGGAAGCCAAAGAGCTAGAAATGATGAGGGGCACTGGCTCGACAGTCAGAAAACCTGGATCTTACGAACGAACGCTACTTACTGATTACGTGACCTTGACAAATTGAGTCGTCTGTCTGAGCGTCATGTTCCTCCTCCATAAAACGAAGGTAACAAAGGTTAATGATAATGTATCTGCCTCTTAGAGTCATTGTGGATATTAACAACGGAATAACCAGGGCCTGCTACTTAACAAACCCTCATTGACTGTTACTTGGAATTGCTATTAGTGATAATGATGATACAATGCAAGCCTGGAAGGAGCAGTTATCTTTGGAGAAAAGCTGGCTCCCACGTCCTCTGTGTAATTTTGCCCAATATAGGGCCAAAGACTCGCCAAAAACTTTGAAGTAAAAGAACTTGTCTGCACATATCTGGTAGGATAGCTTCCTTATGGTAGGCTGGGAAAAGTCTGACAGCGAGCCCCTGTGTAGACCTGAGGAGCCTGTAGGGGAAGGAAAGCAGGAAGAAGATGAGCAGGAGAGAAGAGAAAAGAACCGGCATTCACTCATGCACTCACGACTAAGATAAATTGAATGGATCCTGCTTAGAATCTGATTGGAGAGGAAAAGGCATAAACTCGAACGGTCTACAGTAGAAAGAGTTCAGTGATGACGTGATGAAGGTGATGATCCCAGGGCTGGCATGAACCAAGAATTGAGAACTAGATCTCAGCTTGAGGAACAGGGATCAGGGAAGGCTGTACAGCAGGCATGGGACTCCTCAATAAACAGGGCATACTGTGTTTTGTTCTTATCCTCCTCTATTAAAAAAAAAAAAGTACTCTCTCTTTTTTTGTTTTTTTTTTTTTTTTTTTTTTTTTGAGACAGAGTCTCGCTCTATCGCCCAGGCTGGAGTGCAGTGGCCGGATCTCAGCTCACTGCAAGCTCCACCTCGCGGGTTTATGCCATTCTCCTGCCTCAGCCTCCCGAGTAGCTGGGACTACAGGTGCCTGCCACCTCGCCCGGCTAGTTTTTTGTACTTTTAGTAGAGACAGGGTTTCGCCATGCTGGCCAGGCTGGTCTCGAACTCCTGACCATAGCTCCTGAAAAGTTTTCTGCTAATAAACAGGTTAAAGAAAACGTAATACATCATATGGGCACCTGCTAGCTCTGCCCACCAGAAATCACACTCTGCACAGACAACCCCTTCCCCTCTGCTGCAAAAGTCTCCCAGCTTTCCTTAGGCAGGAGGGCTGGAGAGCCTCCGGGTCAAGTGAGCTCACCTAAGATTTATATGTTACCCATCCCCTGATATTAGATTTTCTCGTGATTTTGCTTTACTTGTGTTTCTTCTAAATAGCAAATAACCAGCTTGATTTTTATCCAGTTTGAAAATTTCCCATCTATTATAGTCAAAATCTTTACTCAGCTGCCCTATGATAGAAGAGCTCAATTCTCCCCTCTTTACCTTTGAAAAAGAAAAACCCAGATGAAGGGGCTGCTTTCGAAGGAGTGGAAAGGGGTAAGGGTGAAACAGCTGGAGGACAGCCACAGTAGGAAGCTGTTTCCATCCTTCGGGGAGGAAGCAGAGCTGAGGAAGGCAGCCACTGCCCACCCATGGCTGAGCAGGGAGAAATGAATACCCTCGACCTCACTTTCCCCCTACCCCCAGTCTCCCATCAAGCCTCCTACCAGAAGGCAGAGGGCAGGGCAGGCCTTTGACACAATCCACAAAGATCAACCCTTCTGGAGCTCAGAGCTATTACAGAGAAGCCTGGAGAGTGCATCGAGACAGGCAAGTAGAGAATACAGCACACTCTTCTTAAGTAGGGTAATGTAACCTATCATTTAAGCTGACTGCTGATATGGTTTGATGCTATCCTGCCCTCTTACATAATTTCTATTTATTATGCTGGGTCATTGCTTTCTATAATAGAAATAATAGAGATTTTTATTTAGTTTTCTAGTTCTTATGCTTTCTCCTTTTCCTTTTTTTTTTTTTTTTTTTTTGGAGACAGAGTCTCACTGAGTCACCCAGTCAGGAGTACAGTGGTACAATCTTGACTCACTGCAACCTCTGTCTCCCAGGTTCAAGCAATTCTTCTGCCTCAGCCTTCCAAGTAACTGGAATTACAGGCATGCACTACCATACCCAGCTAATTTTTGTACTTTTAGTAGAGACAGGGTTTCACCATGCTGGCCAGGCTGGTCTCAAACTCCTGACCTCAACTGATCTGCCCGCCTCAGCCTCCCAAAGTGCTGGGATTACAGGCATGAGCCACTGTGCCCGGCCCTGAATTTTTTCTAATTTGATCATTTTCTTCAATTGTTTTCCTTCTGCTGCTTTGGAATTTATATGTCTTGTTTTTATTCTATTAACAATTATACAAGTTTATAATTCACTTGAGCCTTTATCTTGCAAATAATGCCAAGAATTATACAATGTATAGAGAGAAACAAAGCCGTTAGCACATCTTTACCTCTCTGCTTCTCCCACCCCCACTGGAAGATATGTTGGCATTCTTTAGTCCACTGCATTCCTTTCTAAAAACGTCAATTGATTTCTTAGGCCTGAGCCTACAGGCTTTTGAAGGACCTGGAAACAGCATATATCAAAGGCCAGTGAGATAATAATTAGAAATAAAAGGCAGAGAGGGAAAAATGAGGCCAAATTACAAGGCTGGTGAGAGCATTTGTGGATCCTGAGCAAGTGTGTTCAGGCCAGGAATGTGCAGCCCTGTTCCTTTCCCCAAATCAGCCATGGATCTCAGCGCCCCCAGGTCTCCAACTGTTTCCAGTTCCCATCCTTCCTCCGCACAGTGCCCAGCAGCACCCACCAGCCCTGGGTCCTGGCCAAGCTCTTGAGTTACTTTAACAGGACCTCGGTAGGCCTGGTCAGTTCTGACAATAGCAACTTTGAGTGGCTGGAGCAGCAGCTGCAGAAGCAGATTGGGGACGAGGGTGGCTGCGGGGCCTTCTCAGAGATCAACAGTGTAGATGACAGCATCAACAGCATGGCAAACATCATCACCCAAACGCCTCCTGCCAAGGTCATCATCTATGACTGCTACCGTTTTCACTTCAGACTCCTGGTGGGAGCCCTTCAGGGAAACAATGTGACTGGAAGGACGTGGATCTTTTCCACCTCCTTCGCATTTAACCCCTCGGTGCTGGGTCCCAAAGCCCATGAGTTGCTGAACGGCAGCTTGAGCCTGACCATACACTTAGGAATAATACCTATCTTTAGGGATTTCCTGTTGGTGCTGTGCCCAGCCCCGTAACCAGGCAACAGTCTGATGAGGAAGCTGTGGGAGGAGCTGCAGGGATGCAGGGGGGTCTGGATTTGGGGCTTCCATCCAAAGTGCCAGAGAAGGGGCTTGGCATCGCACAGGGCTGGAGAACATGACCACTGCCCACCTATCTGCCTTCAAACTTCCGGATCTAACTGCCATTTACCAAGCCCACCTGGCAGCCAAAGCCCTGTGGGTCGCCTATCCGAACTTGATGTCCTGCTGTCCGAGAGAGGGACCGTTCCTGGGAGGCACGTATGTCAATGCGTGGGAAGCCAGGCCTTCTCAGGTGAGCGGCCAAGAAGCCTTTCCCAGTCCCTGTCCATTCCAGCTTTCTGTGAGCCTTGGACTAGCAGAGAGGCAGTGTAGCCTAATGAAAGGAAGATCAAATTTAGAACCGAAGTGATCTGGACTCAAACCTCAATATGGGATTTCTCTGGGGCCTTGTCACTTACCTTTCCTGAGCTTCAGCTCTCTCCTTTGTAGATTGAGTATAATAATATATACATTGTGGGCTGTTATGAAAATAAGAGATCAGGCATACAAATGCTGGCTGGTGATTAGTGCATATTATGGGTTACAGCTTTATCCAGGTGGTTTGACGCTGCTGCTAATAATGGTGATGACATCAAAACAGCCAAGGGCCTTAGAAATCTGCTGGTCCAACACGAAGCAGGGAGATCACAGAAAAGGAGAGGCAGAGCTGGAAGAGAATACAATTGTCCTGACATCCAGCCACTACATGCCAATGCTAAAATGCAACAAAGACCATATGAGATTCACAGTAGGAAAGAGTTAACCACCAAGTTAGAAAACTGGTAAATCTGCAATGTAGAATATGCAATCCAGCACCGACACCCATTCTTCGTGGGCTGCTCAGGGACAAGGACCGGAAGGGAAGGTTAGGTGGTCTTCTCCTCATAGTAAGAGAGGTAATGCTGGAACGAGCTCAAAGAGATGAGATAGAGTTCAGAGGACAAAGGCCTCAACCAACAACACCAAGAGAAGAGCACTGGGTTTTCAGCTGGAGGAAGAGCTGAACCTCAGTGCTTGGTCTAATCATCAGCCTTCTCTGTGTTCGAGGTCTCTTTTCCTCTCTGGTCATTAGGTACTTTAATCAAAAAGACCTTGGACTGGGCACGGTGGCTCACACCTGTAATCCCAGCACTTTGGGAGGCAGGTGGATCACCTCGAGTCAGGAGTTCAAGACTAGCCTGGCTGACATGGTGAAACTCTGTCTCTACTAAAAATAGAAAAATTAGCCAGGCATAATGGTGTGTGTCTATAGTCCCAGCTACTCAGGAGACTGAGGCACGAGAATCGCTTGAACCTGGGAGGCAGAGTTGCAGTGAGCCGAGATGGCACCACTGCACTCCAGCTTGGGTGACAGAGTGAAACTCCATCTAAAAAAAAAAAAAAAAAAAACTCTGAATTTTATAACCATGGAAGGTGAGCGCAGATCAGTAATTTTTCCTGTCTGTTCCTTGGAGCCTCAGAGTTCTACAGGGAGACTTAGGTGCCCCAGCTGATGGAACAGTTCTTCAGGCAGGGAGAGGCTTGGGGATGGGGCTCTGGACCCCATAGCTGCCTGTACCAACCAGAGATGCTCTGTTTTCTCTGCCTAATATATTAGTATGAAGCATAAGATTTTACTTGGAAAAGATTTTTTCTTAAAAAGTAGCAACTAATGGACTAGACAGTCAGCAACATTTTCTCAGTAAAGAGCCAGATAGTAAGGATTTTAGGATTTTCAAACCATGCGGTCTCTGTCACAACTACTCAACTCTGCCGTTGTAGTGCAAATGCAGCCATAGAAAATCCCCAGACAAATCAATCCGATTGTGTTCAATAAAACTTTATCTATGAACACTGAAATAGGAGTTTCGTGTATTTTCCATGTATCATAAAGTATTATTCTTCTTTTAATTTTTTTCAACTATTTAAAAATGTAAAAGTCATTATTAATTCACACATCACACAAAAAATAGGTGGTAGACTAGCTTTGGCCAACAGGCAGCAGTTTGCCAACCTGTGGCCTAGAAAATCTCCAGCAGAAGGAAGGGAGATGGTGACAGCTCCCTCTTCATAGCATTCACAAGACATCTTAGTAAAGATACCAGGGGTCTAGGTCCAACAGAGAGAACTGGCTCTGACAGCAAAGGTCAATTGTTAAATTTTCAGGAATTGTGCAAGTCATCTGTTAAACCACTGGTAGCTTCAACCTCGCCATAGTGGGAGTATTGACAGCAGGGAAATCAGCAAACACCAAAAATCCTGGCTTCAGAAGAGAGCCAGTTGTTCAACCTTAAGCACATATTGCAAATAGCCATGCAAAGTTTTAGTAATGAAGTCAAAGTAGAGCAAAAATCCTTTTAATATTAAAAGAAGGCTGTCTCAGTCCATTGGTGCTGCTATAACAAAGTAGCACAGACTGGGTAACTTATGAATAATAGAAATGTATTTCCTACAGTTCAGGAGGCTGAGAAGTCCAAGATCAAGGCACCAGCATGCAGTGGCTGGTAAGGGCCTTCTTGCTGCCTCACATGGCTGAAGATAGAAGGGCAAAAGGGCCTAAGTTAGTAGTTACCTCCAGCCTTTTTTTTTTTTTTTTTTTTTCCCCCAGAGATAGAATCTTGCTCTGTTGCCCAGGCTGGAGTGCAGTGGTGCGATCATGGCTCACTGCAGCCTCGACCTCCCAGGTTCAGGCAATCAATCCTCCTACCTCAGCCTCCTGAGTAGCTGGGACTACAGGCATATGTCACCATGCCTGGCTAAATTATTTTGTACTTTTTGCAAACATGGGGTTTCACTATGGTGCCCAGACTAGTCTAAAACTCCTGGTCTCAAGCGATCCTCCTGCCTCTGCCTCCCAAAGTGCTGGGATTACAGATGTGAGCCACCACATCCAGCCTCCTCCAGCCCTTTTTTCAAAGAACTAATTCATTCATGAGGGTGACTTAATCACCTCCAAAATGCCCCACCTCGTAGCACCACCACAATGATAATTAAGTTTCAACATGAATTTTAGAGGGGACACAAACATCCAAACCATGGCCAAGATCTTCAAACTAGGCTCAGCTTCTTTAAGATGGCTTTTAGGTAATTTCATTGGTGCTTAAGTAGTATAAGTTCTTAAAGGCTGTAAGAAAAATAATAGCTAATACCTTTTTAAACACTTTTTTTAGTGTTTTTTATGTCGAGTAACATGCTAAGCACTTTTATGTATTAATGTATTTAATTTTCAAGACAACCCTATGGTGTAGGTCCCCTTTTTACAGATGAGAAAATTAAGATGTAAAGCAAGATCTATAAAGTCACATCATTGATTCAGATAGAGTGAGGAATGTCACCAGGAATCTTGGCTCGGAACTCTAGAAGCAATTCTGCTCCCAACCAAGTCATTTGCTCAAACTTCATCCTCTAGTTCTTATGAACTTTCATAGCACAGTTCAACACACGCACATACACACACACATATATTTGATTGGTGCAAAAGTAATTGTGTTTTGTTGTTCTTGTTGCTGTTGTTTGAGACAAAGTCTTGCTCTGTCACCCAGGCTGGAGTGCAATGGTGCGATCTCGGCTCACTGCAACCTCCACCTCCTGGGTTCAAGTGATTCTTCTGCCTCAGCCTCCCAAGTAACTGGGACTTCAGGCACGCACCACCATGCCTGGCGAATTTTTAGTACAGATGGCGTTTTACCATGTTGGCCAGGCTGGTCTCAAACTTCTGACCTCAAGCGATTCACCCATCTCAGCCTGGGATTGAAGGCATAAGCCACCACACTTGGCCTCAACGCATGCATTTTTATGTCACAAGTATTTACTAAGCACTTGTGTTTTCATGTACTTTATATACTAAACACAAGTATTTTCATGCACTTGGAGCAATGAGGGATACAGAAATGTACAAAATGTGTGCTTACCTCAAGATGTTTACATTGTAGTTGAAAGAGTAATAAATAAGCAAAAATATTGGTATTGGTATTGGTAAAAATGGCACGTGCAGGAGTGGGAAAGTGATCCAGCTAATTCAAAACATAGGATGGCCAAAGGAAAAGAACAGTAGAAGGAAAGGTTGGAAAGGTGGGTAGGAGCTCTATTATAAAGAACCTCAAAGGTCTTCTTAAAGAGTTCCAGGTTTCTGGAAAAGATGACCACCTCTTTTCCTAATCACAAAATCAAAGCCAATCCCACCTTTTCCAAAGACATCAAAGATCAAGCCGCTGGATCTAAAGTCACTAGAGGGATTCCTGAAGGCACTCTGCCTGTCTTCCTTTTTCTAGTCTTTCTTTTTCAGCTTTATTCAGGTATAATTAACAAATAAAATTGTATGTATTCATGGGGCACAATGTGATGATTTAATACGCATCTACATTGTGTAATGGTTACCAAAATCAAACTGATTAACACATCCATCACCACCAATAGTCACCATTTATCAAATTTCAAGTAAACAATACTGTATTATTAACTACAGTCACTATGGTAGACGTTAGATCCCCAGAATTGGTGGTTGCCATGGGATGAGGGATGGGGGATGAAGGAGATGGGAAAATATTGGTGCAAACTCCCTTTTCTGCTATTTAAGCTGTTCCCAAAAAGAATGATGACAGGGTTTTGATAGTCACATAATCCAAGAGTGTCTCAGCCATGAAGAGTTTAGAATACACTGAAAAGATACTTCTTAGTTTATATCTGCTTTCTTTTTACTTCTTACTGTGAATTTAATATTTTTATTTTATATATATATATACATATATATATATACACATATATATATATATTTTTTTTGAGATGGAGTTTTGCTGTGTCACCCAGGCTGGAGTGCAGTAGCATGATCTCAGCTCACTGCACCCTCCGCCTCCTGGGTTCAAGCAATTCTTCTCTCTCAGCCTCCCAAGTAGCTGGGACCACAGGCATGTGCCACCATGCCCAGCTAATTTCTTTCTTTTTTTTTTTTTTGGAGAGACGGGGTTTCACCATGTTGGCCAGGCTGGTCTCAAACTCCTGACCTCAGCCTGCTAAAGTGTTGGGATTACAGTCGTGAGCCACCGTGCCTGGCCTAATTGATATATTGAAATAATGGCTCATATTCATGAGATACAGTGTGATATTTCAGTACACTTATACAATATGTAACGATCAAATCAGGGTAATTCACAAATCCTTATCTACTTTTAGTCAAAACACATTTTTTTTTATCAGCCACACTTCTTTGTGTCTTCAGGCAGGACTGAGTTTTCTATCCTAGGTACCAATCCTATCTGGCACAAAGAAGGATGCTAAGTAATTTGTATGGATGGATTGTAAAAAACTGGATAGGTTTCTATTCATAAGACCAGCCTATCTGTGAATCAGTCTTAGGCAAGGCCTAATGTTTCAGATTGCCATTATCTTGACTTTCACTTCCCTACCCTGGTCCATATAGATTAATACAAACTTGGAACATGAGAAAACAGAACTCTTTTTTCACAAAGTGTGCAGAGATAAGATGCCTCCCTCCAAGGCACCAGCAAGCATAGATACGGGAGAACTGTCCAGTGATGTGGAGGAAAGGCTCCTAATGTGAGACAGAGTCTCACTCTCTCGCCAGGCTGGGGTGCAGTGGCGAGATCTTGGCTCACACAACCTCCGCCTTCTGGGTTCAAGTGATTCTCTTGGCTCAGCCTCCTGAGTAGCTGGGATATTACAGGTGCCCACCACCACGCCTGGCTAATTTTTTTTTTCTATCATTAGTAGAGATGGGGTTTCACCATGTTGGCCAGGCTGGTCTTGAACTCCTGACCTTGTGATCTGCTTGCCTCAGCCTCCCAAAGTGCTGGGATTATAGGTGTGAGCCACTGCGCCCAGCTACTCCTAATCAATTTCTTTACTGTTATCTTCCATCCCTCTCTCAGGTGCTCCATTATGCCTGAAAGGTTAACTTCGCCACCAAAGCCCAAGAAGAGGTTTTCTTCACCAAAGATGGGGAAGTGCTGGCAACGTTTGACATTAAAAACATCTATGTTCTCCCAGACCTGTCAGGAAGGACAGCCATTGTTGGACACTTTGACTTCAGAGCACCTTCTGGAAAAAATGTTCTGTTAGATGACAGCGCAATCGTCTGGGCAGAAGGACTCTTAAAGATTAGAGCTGACAGCACCCTAAGAACCAAGACCACACAGCACCTCTCACATTTCAAGCTCCAGGAGTATTTGTCATATTGAACTCACTTAGGATACTGGGTCAAAAAGGGGTGGATTATTGACTTACACAACTCTGAGGCTGTTCAGAAAATAAAACCTTCCAAACTCCCTGGCTCCCAAAATTAGGGACCTTGCTAAAGGCAAAGATAACTGATGAGCCAATGGGAAAGTAAATTACATACAGTTGCCAATTCAGGTTTATCCTGAGATGGTCAACTCCAGATACCTAGAGATGTTACTGCTTTAGCCTTGCAGACTTGTGTCAAGAAATAGGCAATCGATGTTGAGCTTTTTTAAGCAGTGGAAAATAACCCATGGAATCCCATTAGTCATTTCCCAGACCCCTAAGTATCTAAGATCACCAGAGGGAGAAATTCTTTTTTTTTTTTTTTTTTTTAAGATGGAGTTTCGCTCTTGTTGCCCAGGCTGGAGTGCAATGGCACGATCTCGGCTCACTGCAACCTCTGCCTTCCAGGTTCAAGTGATTCTCCTGCCTCAGCCTCCAGAGTAGCTGGGATTACAGGCACTCATGACCACGCCCAGCTAACTTTTTGTATTTTTATTAGAGACGGGGTTTCACCATGTTGGCCAGGCCGGTCTCAAACTCCTGACCTCAGACGATCCACCCACCTCAGCCTCCCAAAGTGCTGGAGTTACAGGTGTGAGCCACCACGTCTGGCCAGGAAATTCTAATTTAAGTGCAGTTACATCTCAACTATCATCACGCCTCCTGCAGTTTCCTCTAACTCGTGTAGGCAGGGTTAAACACTCCCTTCACTGAGCAGCTGTAGCATTTTTCACATACCTCTATGAAAAGAGTAAGAAAATGACTATAACTGGTATAATATGTTCTACCTCTTTTCTCTGTGATTTCAAACTTGTTCCCACTGGTCTCACCTTAGTCAGGCATATGGTTTTTTATACCCATGACTATCACACCTCAATGTCCAAATCATCCCACCCTGAGAGGAGGGAACAAAGTTGCTGATGAACAAGGCAGCAGAATAGAGTTCCAGGGAAGAAATGAGCATCATCGCCCCGCAGGCAAGGGGCTGACCCCGCCTGTTGAGATCTTCACTCAGTACTGTTTCAGGTATCTCACAGCCCAGGTACTTACCTTCTCACTCGCTTCTCCTTCCCCAGACCACAGAATCCTTGTATCAGACCTTTCTAAGGAAACTCATTCTGCAAGCACGATCTGAATCTCAGTTGCTCCCAACTTGGAGTGATTTTGCCTCTCACAGGACAATGACAATGTATGGAGACAATTTTGGTTGTCACAACTTGAGGGAGTGAGTGCTGCTGGCATCCGGTGGGCAGGGGCCAAGGTTGCTGCTGAATGCCCGAAGATGCACAGGACAGTTCTCCATAACAAAGAATTATCCAGCCCCAATGTCAGTAGTGCTGAGGTTTAGACACCCTGGACTCAAGGAACCCTTGAGTGGTGCTGAGGCTTAGCTAGTGTCTGTAGTCTTTGTTTCTGATTCACTGTGGATGGCCCAGTTCTGTTGGGGCTGGGTGAAAATTAGTCCTTTAAATATAAACAAACGGATTTGACGAGCCCAGGGTGAAAGACAAACTCTTCAGTTAACACTCCAGAATATGATCCCAGCTCACTAGCATTTGTTGTGCACTCACGATTCTGGTCACTGTGATATGGACTTCACTTGCCTCATCTTATTTAATCCCCACACCATCTTCAAAATACATATTATTACGACCAGGCACGGTGGCTCACGTCTGTGATCCCAGCACTTTGGGAGGCCAAGACAGGTGGATCATTTGAGGTCAGGAGTTTGAGAGCAGCCTGGCCAACATGGTGAAACCCTGTCTCTACTAAAAATACAAAAATTGGCCCAGCGGTAGTGGCATGCACCTGTAATCCCAGCAACTCGGGATGCTGAGGCAGGAGAATCACTTGAACCCGGGAGGCGGAGGTTGCAGTGAGCCAAGATCACGCCACTGCACTCCAGCCTTGGTGATAGAGTGAGGTCCTGTCTCAAAAAAAAAAAAAATACATATTATTACTACAACTTGAGTATCCCTTATCCGAATTGCTTGGGACCAGCAGTGTTTTGGATTTCAGATTTTTTTCAGATTTTGAAATATTTGCATAAGGAGATATCTTAGGGATAGGATCAAGGCTAAATACAAAATTCATTTATGTTTCATATACCCCTTATGAACATAGCCTGAAGGTAATTTTTTACAATATTTTTAACTATGTTGTGCATGAAACAAAGTTTGTGTATGTCAAGTCAGGTGTGGAATTTTCCACTGGAGGCATCATGTTGACACTCAAAAAGTTTTGGATTTTGGAGCATTCCAGATATCAGATTTTCAAATTAGGGGTGCCCCATCTACATCTCCATTTTATTGAAGAGGCACCTGAAGCTTAGAGAGGTTAAGCCCAAGACACCCAAACCAGCAAGGGCAGAACCAGAATTCCAGCCAGCAAGATGTCTTGTTTTCCCACCACACTCAAAATCCCAAAGAGCTTATTCTTATCCATCACTGTTTCCCTAACACTCTGTACAGTACCTGATCTATGGAACACATTTTTAATTATCTGGGTAAGAAATGAAGGAAGAGGAAAATGAAAAAAGAAAAGGAAAAAGTAATAAAGAGGGGTTTAATAAGGGAAGGAGTAAGAGAAAGGAAGAGAGAGAGGGTCCCAGTAAGTGAAAACGATGAGGCTTATTCCTCCACAACCTGAGTGCACAGATGTTGCTCAATTCCCCCTGCAGTCTCCCCAGCACTCTCTCCCCTCCACTCTCTCCCCTCCACTCTCTCCCCTCCACTCTCTCCCCTCCACTCTCTCCCCTCCACTCTCTCCCCTCTTGTGTGTAGGTCCCTTCCTCAGTCTGCAGCAAAAAATGTCCTGAGGAAACCAAGAAGTCAACCTATTTGAGAAGTCAAAATGCTGCTACAAAATCCTTCCCTGCCCCAGAGGAGAAATCGCAACGTCACCAGGTAAGGAGGGAGGCTGGTTCTTGGTCAGAGTGTGGCCAGCCAACAGCCAGAGTAGGCTTCAGATGAAAGCTGTGTACACATCAAGGAAATTCCTTCAATGGAAAAGTCCAGGGAAGTGGGGATCAAAAAGAAGATATCAATGTGACCTTCCCAGATGCTGCATTAAAGCCATATGAGGCTATTACATTCATTCTTTCTTTTATCAACCATGAGTTTGTTCAAATCCTGTACTTACTTTAACATTTGGCATATGGTAGGCATTTCATAAATGTTTAAAAAGAATTATCCTAATGACATAATCCGTATTTTACTAAGGTGTCATTCATTCAACAGATATCAACTGGCATCAACCATATACAACCACTGTGCTGGGTGCAAGGGTACCAACAACAAATAAGGCATGGCCCTGGACCCACAGACCTCAGCATATATTAAAAGAGAATGATACTGTACCCCTACACCTAGCACAGCTCATCTCTCAATAAAGAAACTAGACTATAAAGTGAAGTCAACACTGTAATAAATAAATTAATAGTCAAGCATTGAGCCATGAAAGCATGTTGGAACAATTAATTCTAACAAAGAATAGGCAGCGAGACTTTTCTATGCAGGGGGTGGCATATGACACAGGCCTTAAACAACAAGCAAGGTTTCAAAGGCAATGAAGCATGATAAGGATATTCCAGGTCAAGGAGGAAGTTGTTATAGTAAAGGCATGAAAGCAATAAGGAGCTGAGAGTGGTTTCAGCATCGATTGTGATGCAAGATACAGGAAGCAGGTGGTGAGATCACAGAGGACCTTACCTGTTGGACTCAGGAGCATGGGCTGTATTCTATAGAAAATAGGGAAGAGCCTCTGAATTATTTCAGTATAAAGGCAATGTGTATTTCAGTGTGTGTCTGGGGGAAATGAATAGACAAACAGACAAAGGAGGGAGATTGGAGCAGGAAGACCAGGTTCAGAATCCAGGTAATTGTTGAAGCCACAGTTTTGGATGAAGTCTCTTCAAAACTCTCTCTGGGAAAGTAGAGACTTTGGGAATACCTTTTGCCCTTTTGAAGAGAAAATTTCCACTGAATGAAGCTGAGAAGGAACCACCAGGTGCTGAAGAGAGGATGACAGAAACGAGAAATCTTTGAACTTGGAGACTAGGAAGATGTGGAATCAAAGTATCTAGGACCCTACAAATACATCCAAATCAAGGAGAGATCAAATAAGAATAAATGACTATTCCAGGGCTCAGGCCACAAAATACATCCTTAAAATCACTATGGAATAAAAAACTGTTAAGTTTTATCAATGTTGTTATTTAGAGAAGGGTAGAACGATTAAAAAAGAGAATCTGTGTACATACTAAGCACTCCATAAATATTCCTTAAACTAAATCAGCTGATGCAAGAATAAATCTGTAAATCAATTCACTGTGGCTATGAATTACAACATTACCACAATGGTTGGTCAATTTAAAGGAATCCTAGATAGGAGCTGGAGCTTCCACAGGTGGTTGTCTCAGTGTTATTTCATGATAGTCTGATGCATGATAAGCAGCTGCTGTCAGGATTTCTGCCATCTGTGTCTTTGGCCCTAAATCCGAGGACATCAAGCAATCTGGAAGGCCCATCAAATTGAGACCGAAATATACCAAGCCTGCTGGAAAAGCCATCACAAGTCGTAGAACTGCTTGACCATGGAAAAATTTCCAAAAGTTTCCCCACTCTGTTGACTGACCCAGTTTCTCTTTCTCCTTTTAGATAGTGTTGCATGTCATTAGTGTTGCGTGTCAGAAGTGCTCTGACAACCAGTGGCCCAATGTGCAGAAGAGAAAGTGCATCCCCAAAACCCTTGACTTCTTTTTCTATCACAAGCCCCTTGACACGGCGTTGGCTGTCTGCACAGCCCTGCTCTTCCTCCTTGCCCTGGCCATCTTAGGCATCTTCATCTGACACCACCACACTCCCACCATCCGAGCCAACAACTGCCAGCTCAGCTACCTCCTGCTGTCCTCCTTGGCCCTCAGCTTCCTCTGCCCCTTCGAGTTCATTGGCCACCCAGACCCCATCACCTGTGCTGTGCACCAGGCAGCCTTTGGGGTCACCTTCACGGTCTGCATGTCCACTGTGCTGGCCAAGACCATTGTGGTGGTGGCAGCCTTCCATGCCACCCAGCCAGACACCCAGCTTAGGAGGTAGGCGGGGCCAGTCCTCCCCAGCACCATCCTCACTGCCTGTTCCCTGACCCAGGCAGCTTTGTGTGCACTCTGGGTGACCAGATGGCCCCCACAGACTTGAAACTCTAAAGAACCTGGGCCCACAGTGACTGTAAAGTGTGATAAAGGCTCCTTGGAACTGTTCTATGCCATGCTGGGCTACTTGAGTTTGCTAGATCTGGTCAGCTTGCTGGTGACCTTCCCCACCTGCCAGCTGCCTGACACCTTCAGTGAAGCAAAGCATATCACTCTCAGCACGTTGTCTGCTCCTGTGTCGGGGTGTCCCTCATACCTGCCCACAGGCATGCCCATAGCAAAGACACCACGGCCGTGGAGGTCTTTTTCATCTTGGCATCAGGAGGAGGACTCATGTCCTCCCTCTTCCTTCCCAAATGCTACATCATCCTTCTCCATCCTGAAAAGAACAAAAAAGACTAAATGTTTGGCTGGCATTATCTCAAGTGGGAAAAACTGAAGTGAACCATGAGGAGTGTGGCTTTCTCAGGGATGCCTCCCTGAACTCCCCACCAGGAGGGCGAACCTTCTTCTGAGCCCCATCACACAGCTCTGAACCCCTCCCTGTCCCTGAGCTGCTTCTATTTTATATTTCATTCTATCAAGGGGAGGGGAGACATGTTTGCAAATAATATTGTCCTTGATAGAAGCATCTGGTCTAATTCATTCTATGGCCTCTCAGCACCCAGCCAGCACCTCATACAGTGAGGAGACAGAATACGTGATTGGTAAATGAATGAATTAACTTATGCAAAATTAGCATTGGAAGAGGTCTTTGAGAGGAGACAGGTAGAGTCGTTGAGTGGAGCCAGACAGACCTGGTTCATGGTCTCCTGCTGTCATAGCTGTATAAACCTGGACATGTTACCTTACCTCTCCAACCCTCAGTTTGCTCCAAAGTAAAAATGAGACTAAGACTTTATCTTCGGGTTGTTGGGATGATAAAACAAGAAACTGTATGAAATGTCTCAGCATATGATAAGCACTCAAAAGGTAGATATTTAAAGTCACCCAGCAAGACTCCATCTCAAAAAAAAAAAAAAAAAAAAAAAAAAAAAAACAAGTGCTGAGCTGGATTTGGCCAGCAGAACTTTCTCAGCCAATATCCTAGGGGATGTTGATCCTGCAAGATGGAATGAACTTGCGTCCTTAAAGCTGAACAGAGCCACCCACCAGCCTGGAATACTTACTGTGGACACTTGCCAGAAAAAGAAAATCTTCATTCTTTAAGCTACACTATAGTTAAGTCTCTCTTGTTATAGAGACTTAGCATTTTACTTTACCTAATATATAGTCCATAACTCCAGACTATTCAGACCAGAGCCCCCTTCCATAGTCCTCACCCCTGTCCTTTTACTTTTTTTTTAATTTCCATTTTTATTTTAGATTCAGGGGGTACGTGTGCAGATTTGTCACAAGGATATATTGTGGGATGCTGAGGTTTGGATTCTGTTCATTCTGTCACCTAGATAGGAACATAGTACCCAATAGGCAGTTTTTCAGCCATTGCCCCCTCCCTCTCTCCCTCCTTTTGTGCACCTGTAGTCCCAGCTACTCAGGAGGCCAAGGTGACATAATATCTCTTATTCCCCAATATCTCTTATTCCCATCTTTATGTTCATGTGTACCCAAGATTTAGCTCATACTTACAAGTGAGAAAATCAAATATTTGATTTTCAGTTTCTGCATTAATTTGCTTAGGATAATGGCCTCCCACTACATCCATGTTGCTGCATATAATACAATTTCATTCTTTTTCATGGCTGCATAGTATTCCATGGTGTATATGTATTGCGTTTTCTTTATCCAATCTACCATTGATGGACACCTAGGTTGATTCCATCTCTTTGTTACTGTGAATAGTGTCATGATGAATATATAAGTGCATGTGTCATTTTGATAGAATGATTATTTTATTTTGGGTATATACCTAGTAATGGGATTGCTGGTTTGAATAGTAGTTCTATTTTTCATTCTTTGAGAAATCTTCAAACTGCTTTCCACATGGCTGAACTAATTTACACTCCCACCAACAATGCACAAGTATTCCCTTTTCTCTGCAACCTCCCCAACATCTGTTATTTTTTAACTTTTTGATAATAGCCATTCTAACTGGCGTGAGATGGTATCTCATTATGTTTTCATTTGCACTTCTCTGATGATTAATGATGATGAGAATTTTTTCGTTTGTTTACAGCTTGGATATCTTCTTTTGATAAGTGTCTGTTCATGTCCTCTGCCCACTTTTTAGTGGGATTAATTTTTTTTTCTTGTTGATTTAAGTCCCTTATAGATTCTGGATATTAAACCTTTGTCAGATGTATAGTTTGTAGATATTTTCTTTTATTTGTTAGTTTACCTGTTTGTCTTGTCAACAGTTTATTTTACTGTGCAGAAGCTATTTAATTAAGTCCTACTTGTCAATTTTTGTTTTTCATTGCAATTGCTTTTGAGAACTTAGTAATAAATTCTTTCCCAAGACCAATGTCCGGAAGGGTATTTCCTAGGTCTTCTTCCAGGATTTTTTTATATTTTGAGGTCTTACATTTAAGTCTTTAATCCATCTTAATTTTTGAATATGGTGATAAGTAGAGGTTCAGTTTCAATCTTCTGCATATGGCCAGCCAGTTTTCCCAGCACCGTATTGAGTAGGGAATCTTTTCTCCATTGCTTACTTCTGTCAACTTTTTCAAAGATCAGTTGGTAGCAATGTGCAGCTTTATTTCTGGGTTCTCTATTCTGTCCCATTGGTCTATGTGTCAGTTTTTGTACTAGTACCATGCTGTTTTGGTTACTGTAGCCTTATAGTATAGTTTTAGTTAGATAATATGCCTCCAGATTTATTTTCTTGTTTTCGTTGTTGTTGTTTTTGCTTAGGATTGCTTTGGCAATTTGGGCTCCTTTTTTGCTTTCATATGAATTTTATAATAGTTTTTTCTAATTCTGTGAAAAATGACATTGATAGTTTAATAGGAATAGCATTGAATCTGTGGATTGCTTTGGGCAGTATGACCATTTTAATGATATTGATTCTTCCAATCTGTGAGCATGGAATGTTTTTTCATTTGTTTCTGTCATCTCTGATATTTTTAGCATTGTTTTGTGGTTCCCCTTATAAATATCTTTCACTTCCTTGGTTAGTTGTATTCCTAGGTATTGTATTTTTTGTGGCTGTTATAAATGGAACTGCATTCTTGATGTGGTCTCAGCTTAAACATTATTGGCCAACCTGTTTTTAAATATCCAAGGCAAGGAAACTGGGTTCCCACCTGCCTCCTCACTGTCCCTTCCAAAACTTGAGAGAAAAGACTCGACCCAGTGCTCCCTTCACTTCCTTGTTCCTAAGACTGTAGATGAGAGGATTAAGCATGGGCGTGACGATAGAGTAGAAGACAGATACCACCTTGTTGAAGTTGATGGAGGAAGTCACCTTGGTCCGGACATACATAAAGAAAAGAGTGCCATAGAAGAGGCTCACCACAGTCAGGTGAGCTGCACAGGTAGAGAAGGCCTTCCAGCGCTCAGCAACTGAGCGGATGTGCAGCAGTGTCCAGACAATGTTGCCATAGGACGCAGCAATGACCGTAGAGGAGGCCAGTAGCACAGCCAGAGACACCAGGAAATCCACAGTCTCCTTCCAAGTGACATCTGAGCACGACAAGGCTAGCAAGGGTGAGGCATCACAGAAGAAGTGGTCGATGACATTTGGGCCACAAAATGTTAGCTGAGACATGAGGTAGATTGGCAAGATGGGTGTGAGGAAGCCTCCTAGCCAACAAGCAGCTGCCAGACGGATGCAGGTGCCCCAGGACACCAAAGGCCCATAGTGGAGAGGCATACAAATGGCCACATAACGATCATAGGCCATGGCAGCCAGTAGGAAACACTCAGTTGCCCCAAGAAAGGTGAAGATGAAGAGCTGGGACAGGCAGCCAGCGTAAGAAATATTCTTGCCACCATCCACCCCAATAAAACCAGCCAGCATCTTGGGCACTGTAACAGAAGTGTACCAGATTTCAAGGCAAGACAAGTGTGTCAGGAAGAAATACATGGGTCTCCATAGTTGGTGGTCCAAGCCCACCACTAAAATGATGGCCAAATTCTCTACCAAGGTGAACAGGTACATGGTGAGGAAGAGTATGAAGAAGAGGAGGTGTGCTTCATGAATGCCAGCAAAGCCCATCATGACAAATTCAGTTACCTGGGTCCAGTTTTTGGTATATGGTTGCATCTGTGGCAGTGAGAGCTCAGCAAACTCATAGCCTCATAGACAATGAAAGCTCAAAGAGAACCTGTGAGGTTGGAGGATGTTATAGTAAAATGCCTTTCACTTCAGAAGAAAAACATGATGTAAAAGACCCTGTTCTTACCCTCAAAGAATTTATAGTACATGAGGGACATGAGAAAACAAATAATATCAGTACAAAATGAAATGCACTGGCTAAGAATAAGACAGGGTACTATGGGCAGAAATAGCAGGGAAGCTCAACCAGTCTTGAGAAATCTTCCTGGAGAGAAGACTGTCTAAAGCTGAACCTGAAAAGGAAGTATAAGTTAGTGAGACAAAAGGTAGAGATAGAGAGAAGACATAGCAAGTATAAAATTCCAGACACCAGACAGGAGACTGTGCATTTGGGAAACTTCAAGTAGAGACAGTTTACCATAGAATTCAACAGCTTGATTTCCCAAGCAAGCATACCTGGCTTCAAATAAAAGAGAACCTCACAGAGTTGTTGTGAAAATGTAAGTTAAATAATTCCTGTAAAGCACTTAGCATCATGTTTGAGTCAATAAATGTCAAGGGGGAAATCTACATGTTGACTTCTCCTGGAATAATAGAGAGAGAAAAAATGACTGTTTCTGAGCCCGAGGAGTAGGCTGGGGCACCATGAAGGGCCAGCAACCAAATTAAGGGAAAGGAAAAAGCTGAGCTTCAGTCTAAAGGCCACAGGAAGCCTTTAAGAATTATAAGCAGAGAAGCAATGCTATTCTTTTTACCCCTTAGAAGGGGCAGGTTTGGAGGGGAACAAGGTAAGAGGCAGAAGCTGGGCACGGTGGCTCACGCATGTAATCCCAGCACTTTGGGAGTCCAAGGCAGGCGGATCACCTGAGGTTGGGTGTTCAAGATCAGCCTGGCCAACATGGTGAAACCCTGTCTCTACTAAAAGTACAAAAGTTAACCCAGTGTAGTGGTGGGCACCTGTAATCCCAGCTACTCGAGAGGCTGAGGCAGGAGAATCACTTGAATCGGGGGGCAGAGGTTGCAGTGAGCTGAGATCATGCCACTGCACTCTAGCCTGGGTGACAGAACGAGACTCTATGTCAAAAAAAAAAAAAAAAGGAGGAGGCAGGAAGGAAGGCTGGGTTAGGAGGTTGTTGCAAGTGTAGCATGGAGTGAGGGTGACTTTAACTGCGGAAATGTC